TCCCGAAAACTTTGACTTTTGCAGGTTTGACGTCAATTTGGCTCCTACCTGTTTTTATTGTACCATGGCTTTAAATATATCAGCAATGTAATTGAATTTTATGTTTCTGNCGTTTGATGCCAAGTGCTGTTCCTATGACCCTTATGCCGAAAACTCCCTCCAAGAACACTGCAACTCATAAATCAAAAACAGAAAACAACATACAAGTGAACAAATTTTAACTAAAGAAAATAAATAAATAAAAATAAACTCCAATATTCTTAAAAACGTCAACCAGTGAAATACAATTTTTTATTTTTTCTAACACACGCTCATTTTTATTTTTACTCTCCCGAAAACTTTGACTTTTGCAGGTTTGACGTCAATTTGGCTCCTACCGGTTTTTATTGTACCATGGCTTTAAATATATCAGCAATGTAATTGAATTTTATGTTTCTGCTTGAAAACTCGAATTTGGAAGAAACAAAATAAATATTAAACCGGCTGATTATCAACGCGAGTAAAAAAATTGGAGTTGGCCATCTTTTCCGGTCGCGCTGCGGCGGCAACGATCTATGTAGCATGCTTTGTGCATTTCCACACAATTCATCTTAAGCTGAAATTAGTCGAGAGCGCAGAACATATACTTAAACGCAGTCTGTATACGCAGAATTTTGTCGATTACTGGAGCCCTCAGTGTTGCTTACTACAGTGTTGCCACTCATCAATGCCTTTTCATAAACTTACCCTTTCAACTACAATTTTTCGTGCTATAATAGATTTTAGCTAAATATAAACTACTTAGTTTTCAACAAAAACCTTATTCAATAGTAAATTTCAAATATTTTAAACATATTTTGAATAGGAACTTATAACTTTTTTACCATCTGTAAAACTGACGAAGTGGCAACCATCTAAAGAAGGAGAAATCAGCTGACACGGAAAAATCTAAATTCCGCAGATTTCTGCGCTACGGGCTACAACTACAGAAAAATTGTGCGGTGTTGAGTTTTCATTTACATGGCGCTTTGGTAAGACAGATCGTGTCAGCTGACTCGGGTTGACGTACCGGTAGGTTTACGTTCTTGANTTTGTAGCTTTGCGTGACATTTATAACTTTGCCAGCAAAGCGCCAAACGCAAAAGGTATGCCACAATGAACGCCAAGAAAACAATTTTGTACCGCTTTTTTACTAGTCAAAGTTGCTGTGGATTTCATATATTTTGCTTTAAAATTATCAGCAATGTAATTAAGTTTTATGTTTCTGCATGAAAACTCGAATTTGGACGAAACAAAATAAATATTAAACTGGCTGATTGTCAAAGCGCGCAAAAAGATGGGAGTTGGCCATCTTTTCGCTTCGCGCTGCAGCTTCGACGATTTATGTGGCATGCTTTGTGCATTTTCATACAATTCATCTTATCTGTCAAAGCGAATCTGTCACGTAAAGCGAAGCAAAAGTTTTATGTGGCATCAGCTTAACTGCAATCCATAAATTGGCGCGACAAGCGCCAAGCAACTGTCAAAAATCCTCATGCCCATACAATTTGTATGAAGTATCCCACAATAACGCGGCGCTAACGCCGAGCAAATGGAATTTTCATTTTTGACAGGGCGTTACGTGTTGAAGTTGGATGCAGAAGATGAAGAGAAAGAGAAAGGACAAACAAGTGAAAGAGGAAACGATAATAAAAACGAGAGGACCTGAGAAAACGTCAAAAATTACGACGTGTTGATTTGGGTATAGCGTGCTCACACTCGTTGACAATGGATAACGCAACGCGCAGTGCTTCATTTTAGGGACGGCATTATATGTTTTATCTGGCATCAGTTTTAGCGATTTAAGTGCCATCGCTAGTAAATTTATCAGCTGTGATTTGATAACGCAATGAAAGAAAGGATTAAAATTTTGTTTATCTGATAACGTCGTTGCTCGCGATTATGAGTTGACATTAGGTTCATTCCTTATCTTTTTGGACTAAAATCTGAAAAGTGTCAAAATGCCAGAGCGTAAGCAAAATGCGCTCACTAAAAGAGAGTAACAGGAAAAGTAAAGGAACGCAAAAAACCAAATTTTTAGTCCAAAGAATGGCAACAACAAAACTAACGTCAAATAAGAACAGAAATGTATGTACAAAACACATTCACACAAGCACAAGCACAATAAACACTTGCTATATCAATTATTTTTTGCCTCCTTCCAATTTCAATTCATTTCTTTTACTTTTTAGATTATTCTCACTTTTTGCGTATTCTTTAATTTCCGTTAATTTAAATTCAGTTGAGTTTGACACTTTTCAGGATTTTGCCAGAAAAAATTCTTCTGACTAAATCTGACTACTTCGGACTGATGAGAGTCGCTCTCACTGACTGTTGCTCTCTCATTTTTGCTGTTTTTTCCGAGTTAAGGAACGCTTTTTGGACTAAATCTGACTACTTCGGACTCTTTCTGACTATTTCTGGGAGATAAGGAACGCGCATATTGTGTTACTTTTTCACTTTTAAATTGCATAAGAAGACTGTAGCCACGTGGATTATGCGGGGGTGAGCTATTTGTTCCCGTGGTACATCGAAATATTCGGCAATGACTGAAAAATACTGGAAATATGTCATGTGTGGGGGCATGGCTGGTGGTTCGGAGGTGCTCATCACCTTTCCAACCGATTATATAAAAACGCAGTTACAGCTAGATGAAAAAGGTAAGTGAGTTTAAGAGAACCAGTCAATAGTTCATTAAAGTTAAATTATTTCAATTAGGTAATAAAAAGATGTACAACGGTGTGCTGGATTGTTTTAGGAAGACCACCAAGCAATATGGCTTCCGGGGACTCTACCGCGGAATGAGTGCCCTACTTTATGGTAGCATACCAAAAACCGCAGTATGGTACGTAATGTAAGAAAATATGACTGTTTTTATGATAAATGTGTCGAATATCATCCAGCTTTGGCTCATTTGAATTTTTCAAGTCTTATCTAGTCGACGAGAATAAAATATTATCAACGTACAATAGCTTCCTATGTGGCTTTGCGACTGGAATTGTGGAATCTATCCTTGTCACAACACCGATGGAAACCTTAAAAGTGAAACTAATAAATGATCGGCGCAGTAAGAAATCACAGTATCGTAGCTTTTTTCATGCTGCTCGTGTCATTTTAAAAACGGATGGTATGTACCCGATTTTAAAGGTATTGTAAATAGCCCTAAACTTTCTGTCCCATCAACAAGAAAATCAATTGGAAGATTTGTATAATATTGATTAATTTTAATTAATCACATGAAAAGTGTCTACAATCGTTTCGTTAATATAGAAAGGCTCCAACTCATTTTCTTTTCAAATTCAGCACTGTACAAAAGTCAGGCGATTACTCACTAAAAACCTATCGGATTTTAAAAATAACTAATACGGAAACATATTTTTTATATTCTTTAATAAAAACAGCCTTTGAAAGAAATTCGCAGCAAAAACAATTGATTTTCTAGGGAGTTTTCTCATCATTAGGTACTGAAAGAAACCAAAATGCTAGATATGGCCTTTTTATATTAAGGAAACGTTATGTAATGATGATGTCCTTATTGACATTTCCATCTTATCTTTAATGAGAATATTTTAACGTAGTCATTACCCTGTGTTCAGAAATGCATCAAGCCAAAGCACCAGTATCTTTTACTTCTAAACTATAATTGATGGAAATGTCCAATATGTGCAATCACGGTTAAATCCCGAATTGGAATTTAGTTTCGCAAATAATAATTAATAGTTTAGAAATAATAGAGCAGTCTCNTATAATTGATGGAAATGTCCAATATGTGCAATCACGGTTAAATCCCGAATTGGAATTTAGTTTCGCAAATAATAATTAATAGTTTAGAAATAATATGCTTTGGTTTGATGCATCTCTGGCACAGCATTACTATTTCCGTGTAAAGTAAAACTGTGGTTAAAAAATACTTCAAAAACCGCCGCCGAGTTAAAAATTCTTTATTTAGTTAGTGCCATTTCAGTTGTCTGATTAATATAAGACTTTCAATATTGTATCCAGCCTCATTGCGTAAGTAGTAAATTAGACTAAATTTCACGACTCCACAACTGTAGCATTGTCTATTGTAGTACTGAAATAAGTAAACGACCAAAATCGTCGAAAACTATACAGTGCTGCCAAGTTTTTCTGTTTTAATACACTAGTCGAAAGGAAATTTTAGGCAATGNGCGTCAGTTGTAATTGAGAGTAGTCAATTGTAAATGAGAAAGCGTCAATTGTAAATGAGTTTAGTCAATTATAAATCAGAAATCGTCAAATGAAAATGCGAAAGCGTCAGTTGTAATTGAGAATAAACAATTATAAATGAGAAAGCGTCAAATGAAAATGCGAAAGCGTCATTTGGAAATGAGAAATAAAAGGAAATGAATTGCGTACTGCATATATAATAGATGATTTAAATTCGCTTATCACTGATAATACTTAATCAATTATGTCGCTATAAAACGCGTTTGAAAACGGAATTTGTAAGTTTTCAGAAGGTTATGATCTTCATCTTTGCTGTTTGTAAGCTACGTCATATTAGAGTATGTACATAAATAAGAAGGCAGGAAAATAAAGCTGGATANTAGTCGAAAGGAAATTTTAGGCAATGAAGTGAAATTATCGATACGATTCGACTCTCGAAAAACGACTGCATTCGACACGACTTTCGCAATGAGGGTCATCATTATTTTCTAAAAACATAATACATTTTTTAATTATATACTACTATCTTTCAGGTTTTCGTGGCATTTACATGGGCCTTACACCCACACTACTCCGACAATGCTCAAATCATGCAATACGATTTCCAGTGATGGAGACATTCAAGAATTATTACAAAGGTGATAATCCCACGCGGAAACCGCCGAAATGGATGGTGGCTGTGTTTGGATTGGTAGCAGGCGGCAGTGCAGTATTGGTGAATACACCTGTCGATACATTAAAAACGCGCATGCAAGGATTAGAAGCAGCTAAATATAAAAATACTCTAGATTGTGTATCCAAAATATATCATAACGAAGGCGTATTAGCCTTTTATAAAGGTATGATACCAAGGTTCATACGTTTGTCAATGCAAGCTTGTTGCATTTTTACACTATACGAGGTGTATACGGAAGCTTTTGATAAATTAGATGCATATTTGAATGAAAATAATGCCAAGAGTTGATTTGATGATTTGATGGCACTGGATGTTAGAAATCTCATACTCATACTCATACTTGTAGTATGTTGAACAGTACGAATACTCCCTATTGTGCCATACGCTTTTGTATTTGGAATGTGTCTTTGTATATCCTGCTAAACGAGCGATAAGGCGAGCAATTGTTGGACACGGACACTTATCGCTGGAAGAGGAAAAATAAGTGTTAGAGCGCGGTTACCCACGAACGTGCACGCAGGGTACTGTAGAAGTGCGTAGAAACATATCAAATCTGTGACTCTATATAATTTTCTTTATAATTACCTTTATTTTAATCTTTCTTCCTTTATCTTCATCTTTACTCATCCTAATCTTTTTCTTAATATTTATCTTTATCATCTTTATGTCTATCATTTTCTGCATCTACATATTCTCCTGCACCTTTGCCCTTATATTAGTAAAATTTTTAAATTTACCTTGATTATAATTTTTGCATTTATCTTTACGCATCTTTGTTTTTGTTTTTATTTTTACCTTTGACTATCCTTTTCTTTATCAATAAAATAAAATTACTTATTTTCGTTGTATCATATTATGAATGTGCACGCTCTCTTCTTTGTCATAAATGTTCGCACATGTATGAGTATGTATATGTCGTGTAAAGAAATGCCTAACGCTTTGCCTCCACTTATGTACGCCCACTTATATTTTTCAGACTTACAATAAACCACAAATTAAGACACTTAAAAATAAAAGTCCCTGCCAAAGTGTCTTTGCCTAAGGGAAATTTTAGCAGTTGATAAATAACCCACAACGGAAAACACAAAAAAGATCGCACAGAGTGATATGCCACGGTGAGAAACACTCTTTGCTTGAAAGATGAGTGTTTGTGTCAGTGGTAAACACCATACAAGACACTTGGTGACGGTTATTTTCGATATCTGATTAAAAGGACAACATTTAACATAATTTTATTTATTTGCAATAGCTGACGACCTATGCACGCGATCTTTCTGCTTTGTGTTGGCTTAAGCCTTGCCAAATTTTGGCTATGTGGACAGCTGCATTGAAATTCACAACGCCAAAGTTGTATGTAAACCGGCCTCTATTCTTTGTTTACGCAAATTTTCTCATGTTAACATATACATACATGCAAAGGATTATGTACATATATTTCTTTCAGGTATAGAGCATAACTGCTACAAGTAAATAGCGAACTATTTTGGGGTGTTAAAAAGTGCCTAGTTGTTTTTTTTTTTTGTTTCGGCGGCACAAACGATATAACTACCTCTTTACTTATTTTCTCTGTAAACACAAAATACATGCATATGTCCATACATATATACTTACATAAGTACATATATAAATATGCATGTTATGTATGTACATATTTATGTAAAAATATTGTATTAAATAATCTATGCTTGGGTATGTAAATAAATTTTATTTGTTGATTTAAATGCTGGCCTAATATAATATTCACATATTTATATGAATATGTATGTAAATTAGGGTGGTCCAAAAATACACGTGAAAAAGTTAAGTCGGAATTTCTCTGCTGTAACCCCCTAGGATTATTCTATACCGATAAAATATACCCCAATTTTTTATTTTAGTCGTTAGTATTGACAAATAGTTAAATAAACAATTGAGTATTGTTATTGAAAGTCTCCTGAAGACAACCAGAGTTTTCCAATCCAAAAATATTGATTTTTAAGAAATCCATACCATTTACACGAAAAGTTGTTTTTTCCCCATATAAAAATACATGGAAAACTTTGAGCGCTTTGAGCGACCTCTAAATATTTTTTGATTTCAAAATCAAAAAATAGGGCTATACATATTTTCGATATAGAAAAATCCAAGGGGTGAGATCATTACAACTCCGACTTTACTGTTTTTGGACCACGCTAATGTACGTACATACATATCTGTGTTCGTTTGGAAAAGTAGCTTATGTCGAAAGGCTGGCTTTAGTATAATGCGGCATTCCCTTTATTCTTTATATAAAAAGGAATTTGTTGATGAGACTTAATAAAAATATTGACTTGCCACCATCGGAACTATTTTTTGCACTTTTGTTTGCCAAAAGTTGTGCAACGGCTCAGCGTCAGCGAGTCATTCGCAATCGTATGCTGCGAATGCCGATTTATACTAAAGCCAGCCTTTCGACATAAGCTACTTTTCCATACAAACACAGATATATTAACATATTTTCGTAAATAATCTATTGGCATTCATTCACACATTTTTATGGCCAAAAAGGCATGTGTTGAGCGCTGGCTCGTCGCTCACTCGTCTTACCTAGCCGAGCGAGTATATAGACAGCTACTCGCCTGAACACTGCGAGCGAGGTAACACACAGCAGCCTCGCTCGTTTAACAGGAGCGCGAGCAAACAAGCGGCGCTCGCTCGTTTGCGGAGCAAGCCACACTTCTCGTGCCTCGCCTCATGGCTGCTTCGAGTACGAGCTGCGAACGCCTTGTTGCCTGCGAGGCATTTAGTAGGAGTTTGCTCGCTCGAACTCCGAATTTTTGCCTACCCTGATATTATGTACATATATTTTTAAATAAATATTTATGTGCAATACAAATCAAAGTGAATTTAATCATGAAACGAAACAAATCTGAGGAAAACTATTGCCAAACAATAACATATTGGGCCGTATGCATAAAACCTACCTTTTCTTAAAATTTCAGACCTTTTAGTAAAAGGTATGAAATTTTAACAAAAGCAATTGCTTAGTTTTTAGCATTAGGTTAGCGCCAGTTCGGCCGAGTTTAACAAAGCACGCCAGTCGCTGCTCTTCTGTGCCAGCTGACGCTAATTGGAAATGCCAAGTGAAGCCAAGTCCTTCCCCACTTGGTCTTTCCTTCGCAATGGAACTCTTTCCTTCGCAGTGCACGGTCTTGTAGTAAATTTTTCCTGAGCGGTTCAGTTCTGCGGCTCTTATTATCTTCTCCAACATCAGATTAAAGAAATCTCACGGCTCGGGGAAGTCTTTTCCAATTCTGACGGAAGTGGTATTGCTCAACGTCATTTTACACAGTCGTATCAGTTTCGCGGGGATACCAAATTCAGACATCGCGGCGTACAGACATCTCCTTTTAGTGTTGTCGAAAGCGGCTTTGAAGTCTACAAATAGATGGTAAGTCTCCATCCTTTTCTCGCAGGTCTTTTCGAAGATTTTGCATATTGTGGATATCTGGCCCATGGTGGATTTGCCAGGTCTAAACCACACAGATAAAGCCTAATCAGTTCGTTGATGGTGGGTGTCTTTCACACAATACGCCGATAAGACCTTGTAACCTATGCTTAGAAGGCTGATCCCGCTTATCTTGTGGGTTGAGCAGAACACCTTTAAATTCCAATCGTCGGGTATACGTTCATCTGACCATACTGTGCATAAGAGTTGATGCAAGCGCCTTATTAGCTCCTCGCCGCCGTACTTGAATAGCTCAGCTGGCAGGCTATCAGCTCCATAAGCTTTGGTTGTTTTTAAGCCGCGTAATTACATCGACTGGGGCCTCAGGCTCGTCCTTTCTACAACTTCGCGTGCTGCTGCCATTCAGTAGAGTAACTGTGACTGCAGCTTTTCGACGTTAACCTTGCCTTGAATATTTTTTGCTGCACAGAGGCGGGTGCGTATCTTGGTTGAAACAAGGTGTAGTCCGAGTCGATGTTTGGGCCTTGGAGTGCACGTATGCATACTACCATGTTTCGGGCCCGAAGAAGTCGATCAGCCTCAGTCCGTTGTTGGACGTTTCGTCGTGTAGGGTGAATTTTCCAACAGTGGCCAAGCACGATTTTGATTCACGGCGCGAGCAGCGCTCGTATATGCGCTCCAAACGCTGATGTTGAAGAATCTCGTTTTGATGCGGATTGTGGCTAGACGCTCGTCCACCGGGGNTCTAAAACACTGGATTTGGTTTCTCGTTTTTCGTTCCGGATATAGCCTGCATACTACCATGTTTCGGGCCCGAAGAAGTCGATCAGCCTCAGTCCGTTGTTGGACGTTTCGTCGTGTAGGGTGAATTTTCCAACAGTGGCCAAGCACGATTTTGATTCACGGCGCGAGCAGCGCTCGTATATGCGCTCCAAACGCTGATGTTGAAGAATCTCGTTTTGATGCGGATTGTGGCTAGACGCTCGTCCACCGGGGTGAACGACAGCACTCTGGCTACTGCAGCAGGCTAAACTCGTACCTGAGCAGAGTGGTCGCAGATGTGCCAAATGAGTGCTCGGCATGCGGAGAGTCACCACACGACTCACGGCACCTCTTCGCATGCCCCCAAAACCCCACCCAGCTAACGCTCCGTCCCTACGGACAGACTTGATGGAAGTTGCACACTTCATAGGCCTCCGCTTAGCTGAGCCTACCGACAACGTTTATGGACAAGCCGACCCTAGCGAGGTTTAGTAGCCGCTACAACAACAACAACAGTACTCGGCGACGGACTCTACCCCACAACAAGTCCAATACCGAATCTGCGCCCCTTTACATGGCAGCTGTAGTAGCCGTCGCAAGGCTCCAGATATTGCTTGCCTTGCCCCGCCCAACCCATTTCTTAGTTGGCGGTGATGTCAGCTTTTATCCTTACGAGTACATCAACCAGCCAGGGATACGCACCTCCCCCATTAAGGGTCTTGACATGCCCTCAAATCGTAATCCTTTAAGCGTTTGCCTTGGTCGTCATCAAAGAAGGGGTCTCATACGAGACTTTGTGTCTCTTTTTCATTTGAAGTGGATTTTACGTGGCGGTCCCCAATCCAAGCGCACTATCCATTGCTGGGAGGGGGTGGTTTCTTAACCGGAAGCAGTTTTGAACTCGGCCAAAATCGCTTAAGCGGTTAGAGCCTATAAAGAAGAAGAATAAGCAATCCTTTTTAGGTTTTAAGTGTGGTAGGCAGAACTCAAGAAATGCTGAAGAAATAGTTATAATAATAATATAGTAATAGATTGGCGCTTACACATATGTTAGTGTTTGACCGAGCTTCTCCTCCGATTTTGGCGTGCGACTTGATGTTGTCACATAGTACTATGAATATATGAAGCATAAGATGAATAAACAAAGAGGAGGGGCCTACAGTTTTACGCCGACTACGAACGGCGATTGTATTTTTATGAGAAGCTGTTTTTCATGGCAGAAATACACTCGGAGGTTTGCC